ATCCTTAGTGGACTGAAAAATGAGAGAGTGGCTGGGTGCTAGTGGCTCACACCTTTAATCCCAGCACTTGGGAGGCAGAGGAGGTGGATCTCTGAGTTCAAGGCCAGCCTGGTCTACAGATCGAGTTCTGGGGTAGCCAGAGCTGTCATACAGAGAAGCCCTGTCTTTGGAGGAAAAAAAGTGAGAGCATGATGCTCTCTTTGCTAAGGTAAACACAACTGGTTTGTACCACTTGGGCAAACACGGCAAGAATGTCCTTGAAATCATCTTGTGTGATAAGAGTAAAAATAGTTGTCCTGCTTCTGATGACTAAGATCCTACTGCTGACATTTACTCTCCCTTACCTTCTACATGCTAAGTAGGGCTTAGGTAATACTTGTCTTCGTCCTAAACTCTATGGAGTAACTGATTGTGCTGTGGTAATAAGGCTTTGAGACTGCTTATTAAATGTGTTGTCTACCTGAGGTTGTTTCTCCTTCAGTCCCTGTAAAGTCGCCTCATTCTGAGCTTAAATGGCAGATGATGAACTGTTCAGGAATCCATCCCAGGGTTAAGAGAGCTCCATGATGTTGCTGCAGTCTGGAAGACAATCTGGTCTGCCCTTCAGTGGTCCTACTCTAGGAGCCCTGTTAGCAGCCTGCTCCAAGTCCTTTGCTAGTCAGGCCATTCACTAATCAAAGGCAATTTAAATCCTCTGGCATACTTGCATTAGAGTAGACTGATCTTAGCACTCTGACGCTTCCTTTGTTATCCTTGTGCCTAAAACTGACACTAAACCTGGATTTTACCCATAGTGGGAAGTTTTGTAAGCAAAACTTTATCTTCATTAGTGTACCCCAAAATCTAGAAAATACCTCTTTCTGATTGCTTACTGGCTTGTGGCTAGTAAGCTGTGCTGGGATAACAGGCAGCCTCAGGACACGGGTCAGAATGGCCATTCTTTCCGTACTTTATTGTTTTTTTAATAACTCACATAAACTGAATTAACACATCTGTAGTTAAGGTAAATGTCACTTACAACTTGGAAGCTGAATATTTCTTCTATATATAAAACTATTGCTTTTTAAATCTCCAGAAATAGATATTCTTAACTACCATGGAGCAAAGATATTCTTGGGCTTAAGCCCAGGGCTTTGCATATGCCGAGCATGCTCCATTACTGAGCAGTAGTCCCAGCTTTCATTTCAAAAGTCAGAAATAGTTGTCTTTATTGTAATTGAGCCAAAGGCAAACCACAAATAGGCAATATATAACTGTGATAGGCTACACCTCAAATCTAGCTTTCCAAAGTGGCCTGAGAACTTGGGGGAAGCTTAAAACTAGTAAGAGGAAAGCAAGAGCATTGGAATTGTTCAGCTGATGAGGGCGGGACCTAGAGATGGAGTACTGAAACCTGCTGTACACAAGGCCCTAGGCACATGCCTACAACTCAGAAACAAAATCCCTTCTCAGCTCTATTAAGCCAGAAGCCATTACCAGTTAAGACATGGTTATATCTTACGTAAGAGAGCTGGTTAGTGGTAAGCATAGTCTTTCAGGCAGAACCAGTTTGATCCTGTCCTGTTAAAGAACAAACATGACTTTCCAGTGAGAAATCACTCTGAGTGCATCAAAATTAATAGAAGAAAAACTTTAATAATAACACGTGTCTGGTTCTTATTAATCACAAAGAGGAAGCAGCCTCAGAAAGTTTTACCAGTGTATACAGGCTTTAGGCCCATACATTTCATGTGTGCTGCCATCCTTAACTCTCCTTCAGGTCCTGACCGCAGAGCCAGGGAGGCAGCTGGGAGATTTATACAGCAAAGACACGACAGTGTTGATCTGTTTCCTGGTTGTTTCCCAGGGTCATCTTGTCCACTTTGCAGAATTATGCTTTCCCTGGTAAGAGGACAGAAACTTCATGGCAGATGAGGACTGTATGATAGCTATCACCCTGTACCACTCCCTTGAGCCACCTTAGAGACAGTATTCTGATATGGGAATAGGCTTAACTGCTACTCAGTCTTGGTAAACAGGCTCAACAGTTTTAAACTTCAGTTGTGTTTGAGGAACAAACTTTTCCCTGTTGTTACTGACAAGCGTGGTTAGCACACTGCTTATTTTCCAGTTCTGTAGAGGCATTGCTGTCTTAGCTAATCCTGCTCTGTGTAACTTAATATCTACTAACTAAATTCATTGGTAAATCCTTTGTAACATTGCAGTTGTTATTTCATGGTTCTCTTACATCAGCTCATACACATCTGAACATGAAATGCAGATTTCATTGTATGTCATCTTAAAAGAGCTGATGCTGGTGCCCCTTTCTTCCCTAACATTGATTTCTTAGAAAAGAATAAGCAATAGTTAAAGTTGCTATTGCTGGGATGAAACGCCATGACCAAAGCAACTTGGTAATGAAAGAGTTTATTTGACTTACACTTCTACATCACAGTTCATCATCAGCTGGGATAAGAACTCAAACAGGGCAGGGACCTGAAGACAAAGCTGATGCAGAGGCCATAGAGGATGCTGCTTACTGGCTTGCTCCCCATGGCTTGCTCAACCTACTTTCTTTTAGAAACCAGGACCACCATCCTGGGAATAACTGCCCATAAAGGGCTGGGTCCTCCTGCATCAGTCAGTAATTAAGATAATACTCTACAGGCTTGCCTCCTACCCAGTCTTCCAGAGACATTTTCTTAATTGGGGTTCCCTCCTCAGATGTCTGTGTCAAGCTGACATAAAATTAGCACAGCGTTCAGCAACAAATGAAAATTTTTTGCAAGTTACTTTGAATTGCCTACAAGTAGCGTTTACTGTGAATGACTTGCCATGGGAAATTGTAACGCCCACCCACCTAGTTCTTTGTTGTACCACTTTCCTCCTGATGGTTAGGACCTAACAGGAACACACGCCCTCTGAAGTGACTGTGAGGAGTTTTCAGTAGAAGACAAGTTGCTTATAAAAGTCAGATTTGGCCAAGCTGCTTTAGTAACTTTCTGATGAAAAGGTTTAAAAAGAAAAGTTAAGCATCCTTGCCTTCAAAGTATCAGTATTACTAGTTTCTGCAGAGAGAACCATCACTGCTGTCCTTGTGTCTGTTAATTTCCTATAATACAATGTGGGCTGGTTTTTCAGAAACTCACTATAAACCTTAGAACATATTTCCAGATATAGCTTAAAGTTATTGCAATGTTCAGTTTGTGAAACTGCACATTCCTGGTAAAATACTTTTGTGTGTAAAAAAGAAATATTTGCTGTTGAGAAATTTGAAATGTTTTGTTTATAGGTAGACCTAAGAGAGAGAAAACTGCACGATACCACATTAACTTTGCTTAAAGTGATTTTTTTAAAGTCCCCGATGTAATTTTTTTCCACCTAAATAGGGCTTCCCTATGCTCTTGTTTCTATCCCAGCCGAGATTTGTTGGTGCCTTTTGTAATAAAGGTTCTCAGAATTGGGAAGATTAAAATACAGAATGCAGAAACAGAGACTCTGTTTAGACAGCACGAGTCACTATAGCCACTCCCCATGTGTCCAGCAAAGAGAAATGATGTGTCCCATCAAGCAGACCTGTTGGTTCCATTTTACACTAGGCCTGCAGGAAGAAGGCAGGGACTTACTGAAATGTGGCTCTGTGTACAGGAAGCCTTTGCAGAAGCCCTGTGTAATTCTCCCATGCTGGTTTGTAGGATTCCATAACTCACATTCAGGAACATGCTACTACAGAAAGACTTGAGTCTTTCTGATGTCTCCAGGAGAATGGTTTGTTTTTATTGTTTGGGTGTGCACACATTTGCACATAGAGGCTAGAGGTGTCTTCCTTTATGCTTTCCAGGTTTGTTTGTTTGTTTTCCATACAGGTTTTCTGACTGCAACCGAAGCTCTCTGGCTGGCTTCTGGTAAGCCAGCAAACCCACACATCGGCCTGCCTCTGCCTTCCAGTGCTGGTAGTGCAGATGTGATCACGATGCTTGGCTCTTCATGGGTGCTGGAGACCCATGCAGGGTTTCATGCTTGTACAACAAGCACATACCCACTGAACAGTCTCCCAGGCCCTTTATATTCGTTTTCTATCTTCTATGATCCATCTTCAGGGTTCTTTTTTCCCCAATTAGAAGGATAATACAAAATTCTAGCTAGAATGCTAAGCTGGAGACATAACATGTTTTGTCTTTTGTACCAATCTCCAAGAGTCTGAATTACACTGAGCCACTGCTGGGTTTCTCCTGAATCTCAGCACACATTCGCATGCACATGTTTTTCCACCTCTAGATTCCTGTGTTCTGTTCATAGCTTCCTCTTAGGCCTGTTGCCAAATAGACAAAAGATAAGGCACCACCAACACAGCACAAGTACACATGGTGCGTTTTCCTTCCTAATCTATGGTTAGTTCATAAGCAGTGTTGCTGGTTTTAACTTTATCACCCGTGTAATAGGCAGCTGCACAAGGCTGAATCTCATTTGTAATAGAAATGATTTACTTTATCTTTGTTACGCTTCCTTATAATCTGAAGGTGTCACATGAATAAAGTGGAGGTGAGAACTATGTGCTGACGTGCAGCTCACTCCTGCTGACGCCCGGGGGCACTGGGTTTGAGCAGTAGTACCAAATGCTTTCAGTGGAATCAGGAGGCTTGAGGAGACTGTCCAAGCTTGCTGAAGCAGAAGGACATCAAAACCTAATAAACAGCCAACTACACATATCAGAATTGCTTTTGATAGAAATTGCAACATGTGACAAATTCCCAGAATGCACTAGAATTCCCCCAGACATAGTATGTTCATCAAAGCATAACAAAGTCAAATAAGAGGAATCTATTTAAATTCTCATGTTGAGGTGGGTCTTCAAATTAGGTGTTCTTACTATAAAATTGTTTTATATACTCAGGTAGCATTTCTAGTTGCCCAGTCACCCAGTAGTGTACAGCATATCTGAAGAATGGGAAGGAAATTGCTTCCCTGTAGCATTCACAGCTTCCTATGAACTTTGAAGTAAAATCTGAGACTCTTCTGGTTTTGAATGTAAGACATAAGTGGAAATAAAGTGACAGGTGGTTCTTCCCTCAGTAACTCAGGTGTTGTCGGCACAGTAGGCCTCTGATAAAAATAACCCATCTACAATGCTTGTAGCCATTCACAGTGTGTCTGACTGACAAAGATGTTCTTCACACTGTTTGCTTAGAGTGCAGAGCCCACTTAGAGTGATATGAAGAATTAGTGGGAGGATGCAAGAGTCCCTCAGGATGGTGGCTTTCGCAGAAAACTGTATCCTCTCCAGGGCAATGTCAGCAGAGGCAAACAAACGCTGCACGATGCCAAACGTCTCTGTGTCTCTCAGAGGAGCCAAGGTGGGGTCTTGAAAATCACATACGCTGCCATCAGACAGAGCATGGAGCTGAAATGACAAACAAATTCCCTTCAAAATGTCCCAGAAAAATCTCAAGTTAAAAACCTTTTAAAGAAACTCCCAAGTAGAACAGGAAAACCATTAGGTGGAACATAAAGATACATGTTCCATCATGTCAGGACTTTCGGAAAGCCTGTTTTTCTCTTCCTTGCCTGTATTCCTGAATCCACGCACTTATACCTAGACCTGTTAGCCCAGTAAGTTAGAAAGAGCAACACGTGCCTTTCCTCCACCACATGGAAGGGTTTATCTGCCTCCACTGAAAACGCATACATTTTTATGGGATACATTATGGTAATTCAGTACATGTATAGAACCTATAATAATAAATCATGGCAAGAAGAACTTTTGTCTGCCGTACCATTTTGTGTGGAGCTTTCTATACTCTTATAGTTATTTTGAAATACAGGTGGTTTAGCTATCAGCACTATGTTACGGAAGATGCAGAAGTGTCCCCCCTCCTGCCTGTTTTAAAGCCCATTCCTGAGCTTCATCTCCCCTCCCCAGTGCAGGGGTGTGGAGTTTGGTGGATCATGATCCTACTCTTGCTTTTCCAAGCCATTGATTTAGTATCTCCATAGCTGCAGAAGAACATCTGTCCCGTTTCTGGCCTGTTACATTTAATAATGAACTCTAGCTCCAGCCACGTTGCTGCCGATAAAGAATAGGGTTTCGTTTCTCACAAGTATACACTGTGCATTTATTTGCATGCTCTTTGCCTCTCACCCACTAAGGAGCACCTGGGTAATTGTCACATGTTAGCTTTGTGACTAGTCTCAACAAACACTGGGGTGTACATCTATTGATGTAATAATTTCCTCCCCTAGAAACTTTCAGCAACTTCACCAATTTTTAGTGCCTGGAGGCCCCCTCCATTCTGCTTTCTAAAATGGCTGTAGTCATTGCATGCTCTCCAACAGTGTGTGAGCCTTTTCTGTTTCTCCACCCTCTAGCGTTTCTTACATCATCTGGATGATTATTTTAATGAGGGTGACATGCTACTTCTCTGCAGTTTTGTGTTTCCATGTTGATCAGAAAGGGGGAGGGAGCAGTTTTTCATGTACTTGCTTGCCATTTGTATGTCTTTTGAGAAGTATCCATTTAGATTTTTAGCTCATTTTTAATTGTTTTTATGGTCTATAGCCTTTTGAGTTTATAGTATTTTCCAGATGAATCCCTTGTCTGAAGGTTACTTGGAAATACTTTTGTGGTGTATTATATTTTGATATGTTATTGAGTTCAGTTGGTACTATTTTATTGGGAATTTTTGTATGTTAGTCTGCTGTTGTCTTTTGTTTTTCCTCTGGGTATCCAGATAATGCATTTGGTGGAGTTCCTTCCATTTTAATTTCTAAACAATGGAAGCAGCATTGGAATTGTTTTTCATTGTTTTTGTAGTAAAGCCACCATAGCCCTAGACTGTCTTTAGATGGGAATTTCTGTTATTGTTCTTGTCTCATTATTGGCCTATTTGTATTTCATATTTCTCTTGATTCAGTCAGTTGAGCTAAAAGTATCTGTTCTGTTGTAGGTTTCCCAGTTTTGTAGCACTGTGGTTGTTGCAGTCATTCCTTGTGATCCTGCTTCTGTGGTATAGGTAATGTCACCTTTCATCTCTGGGTCTAAGTCTTTATCCAACCACCAACGCTGCCTCCATCACTGCCACCACCACCACCACCCCCAAAAACACAGACATACACACAGCCTACCCTGAGGATAATTTGTTTTGACAATTCTGTTTGCCATTTAAAACAGTTTTGTTGATATTTTTTCTGAGAAAAGGTCTCTCATTATGTAGCCCTGGCTGTCCTGCAACTCAGTATACAGACTAGGCTAGCCTGAAGAGCAGGGATCTGCCTACCTCTGCTTCCCAAGTGCTGTGATCCCTGCTTGTTCTACGTTCTTGAGGTGCAGCAGTCAGTTGGCTCACCCTCTGCTGTCTGCTGTGTGTGTTCATTGTTCTGAACTTCCTTCACTGCTCCTTTTGCTATATTATGCTTTGTTGTGTTTCTTTCCTTTGTTTCTAGGGTTTCTCCAGTTACCTGTTAGTCACTAGGAACATGAATTTTTGTAATTTCTGGGTTTGTTTTTAAGTTTTACTCCCTTATGATCTAAAAAGATACATAGTATACATTCTTTCTGTGCTAAAAGTGGACTTTGTGATAGTGTGTAAAAATCTGTGAGGTCATGGGTTAGCTGGCGAAATGATTGGGTGAGTGTGTGTGGATAGGTGGGTTAGCAAAGAAGGAAAGAGGAGTATGATCATTGCTTTATTTTTTACAAGAAGAGGGAGTACTAGAGTGTCTGTCTTCAGTAGTAATAATGATTTCCAAAGAATATTTTTAAAGGAAAAAAGTATGCATGAATTAAAACTCTCCAATAGAAGCAATAAAGTAATAGCCATGAGTTATTGTGGCAATGGCTTGGCACCTCCATCATTTTCAAGTTTTTATGATGGGAAAAAAAAATCTCTTCCAGGGTAAACAGCTGTAAAGAAAAGGTTTTCAGTGTAGGAACATCAATTTCTTTTTTCAGTTAGACATTAAGTATTTGGGGCCTTTGATTTAATGTAGAGCTAATAGTGGATTGCAAAAGCTTTATTCAGTACATAGGGGCTCGAAGAGATCCAGCTGTTAGTGTCTTGGATACACTGATTCATTTGTAGTCATTGACTTTAAGACTTTTATTCAGAAATTAGCCCGGAGAGCTGGAAAGACGGCTCTGCAGTTAAGCAGCAGTTTGTTCTTGGAGAGGACCAGATTTGGTTCCCAGCACACACATGGTGGCTTCTGAGCACACACATGGTGGCTTCTGAGCCAAAAGATCTGACTGCCGAGGGAGTCAGGTATGTGCTAGACAGACAGACAGACAACACACTCATCACATAAAAATAAAAACTAGCAGAAGAGTTCACCCTTGAATCGGGTGGGGGTGCGGAGGTCACTGTTGCAGACTTTAGAACAATGATGAAGGTGTACTGGAATCGAGAACTGAGCAGATGGGTGACGCAGCATGTGGTTAGTGCCCAGACAGTCAGGCTCCCGAAGAGTGCCTGCGCTGCACATCACCTGAAAGATTGCGTGCTGTGTGTGAGCAGGCTACTTTTACCTTAGAGGAGGGTGGGACAGGTTATGAAGACCTAGTGGGGCCTTGATAGAAAGACTTCCTCAAACTTCCTTGTCTTCAAGACAGTTGTTCCTAAAAGCTCACCCACAAAATAAGAACATCTTATTTGTCCCTCAAAATTGCTTGTTTAGTTATACCTCAATATCTGGCAGCCCTGTGGAGCCTGACAGTACCATGTCTTCTTCAAATCCTTTGCACCACAGTAAGAAACCTAAGCACCATTCACTGACTTTAATTCACAGCCTCCATGTAGTCTGTCTTATGTCCTCTCTTATTCTTGATGTAGTAGGATTTATGTGTCTAGGCTGGAGTGGATGGAATGTGAATAACTGGTTTTTTCTTGATTTCTTTTTATATTAAATCAACTCTTAGAATCATCAGATTTTAAAAAAGGAAAGGAAAAGCATTGAGACTTAGATGTGACCTGACATACTCTAGTGAGAGTGAGGCTGCTGCTGCTGCTGCTGCTGCTGCTGCTGCTGCTGCTGCTGCTGCTCCTGCTGCTGGGTATGCTGCCTGGAACTGACACGCGCAGGTAGACTCGGGTAGTTCTGCAGTTTTGTGTCTAGATGTTGCAGCTCATAGTGGACAAAGGGAAGTCCCTAACTAACTGTCTTCCCCCTCTGCGCTCATGGCTATGGTTGTTTCGGCTGTTGAAATGGCAGTGTTGGGTCTGTATAGAGTCTCCCTTCTGAACTGATCTTCTTGTGAATCTACAGTGGCTGTATTCTCTCCGGAGTTTGTTTTTATTTAAAGCCCACTTTTCAGCTTTTGATTTCCATTTGAGCATTTGAGTGGTTTTTTCCCCTTTTAGTACACATACATTAGTAAATGGGTGTGTGCAGCATATAGTCGAGTGTAGTAGGTGGGTGATTGGTTGTTTTTTTCAGGTAGAGTCTCTTGCAGCCCAGCTTGCCCCTGAAGCTTTCTGTGTAGCTGAAGATGTCTCCACTTCCCAGTTCTTAGGATTACAAGTATTCTCCACCATGCCCAGCTCTTTCTTACTGGTTTTTTTTTTAATCCATTCAGCTAGTCTATTGGTTGATGAATTTAATTCATTTGCATTCTTGTCTTCCTTGACTGGTAACTAGGCACTTTATCCTTGAGTTCTGCTGTCCTTGGGCTGCTTGTAGCCATATGTCAGAGCCTTGGTGTATGTTATTTCCCTGACTGGATATGTGAGCTCCAGAATTGTAGTTTTGTTTTTTAACTAAGATTTCTAACTCTGAATTTCCATTTATATCCTGAATTGCTCTTTCTTGCTCCTTTGTATAATTTTGTTTCTATTCTCTTGGATCTCATTGCGTTTCCTTGGGATCATTACTGTGAATTCTTCAAACTCCCTTTTCGGAGGTTATTTTTAAAGAACAGTGGTTCTCTTTGGAGCTGGCTTGTTCTGTGTATCCTGTACATCTGTGGAATATCCACTCTTTTGAGGCATTTTCTGTAGGAATTTGTTTGTTTAAATGTCAGTTGGCTAGATGCTTGGGTTTTAGCTGCACATGAGCTCAAAGCAGCAGCCTCTGGGGAACCGTATGTGGTTCCTATCATGAAGGTCTACGAGGACATCAATTATCCTGTCTACAGTAGTTTCTTGAGGTAGGGCTTTGCAGTAAGCGTAGGCTTCCAAGAGCGCATTCAGCTGCTATGGAGTTGTTGGTATGAGGTGCAGAGTTATCCCTAGGTCCATGCAGGTAAGCCTAGATCACACAAAGAGTTGTGGGAGTTGCTTAGGTCTGCAGCACCAATACCCACAGTTCTTGAGTCACAGGACAGAACCAGACCCATTTCCCAGATCTTGCTAGATAAACACTTCTGATAACCATAGGATTTAAGGAATTGAAACATGAAAGAACACTCCCCTAGTCCATGGGGATAATTAAGGTTGCTGAGGTTTAGCTACTTTTATGGAGGTGTGAGATCCGGACAGTACCTTCCCGAGGGTTCAAGAAATAAGCACAAATTTTACTCAGTACCAACAGCCTTAACCCGGTCTGTGGACTCTGGAAGACAAGTTCCTTGGGTTATCTCAGTAGTTCTGGTTTCCATGCTTGGAGGGGCAGGGCACAGGAGAATTCCTCTTTGTGCTACTAGGTTAATACGCATAGTATATAGGCTTGCCCTCTGATGTCTAGTCTGAGGCTGCAAAATAAGGTGGACATATACCTAGGTCACGCAAAGAGTAAGCAATGGGGAGGCCAAGACGTGTGGCATCATTTGCCATGGAGCTGAAGACCATAGATGTGATCTGAACTACAAGCCTGAGTGGGGCTGAGGCTGTAGACAGGAAAAGTTCCAAGTTCCCGCTGTGGGTGGGTACAGATGTCACTGACAGTGGGGTCCCTGACCACTGGAGGCCTGGAATTGTAAGACCCGGCTGGGAACTTGGTCAGCTCCTGGTAGACAGGTGCCAGCAAGGCTGGAGTCAGAGTGCAGCTGCAGCCCACAGCCCAGGGTAAGCTGTACAGTGAGGAGGAGGAGGAGCTCTGCTCCAGGCATATGGCTATGGTACTTCTAAGCCTGAAGGCAGAATTCTGACAGCACTGCCTTCCACCTAATGTGGGCACGGGACCCAAGGCTTCTGACAAGGTCAGAGTCCTGCTGATTATGGGAAGCCCAACTCAGGTGTCCGCGCTCTTAAGAGTCCTGTTTACACAAGCTGGTTATTTAGAATAGACATAAAGCCACGAGCACTCTGGCTTCCGCAGTTACAGTCACAGGCTTAACACGATGAGGAGGTCTGCTTCCATTTTCTATTTCCCAGGGTAATGTCAGGCTTGGTGTATACAACAGGTGCGGCCCTCATTGTTTAGAGTTCTAGTCATTTTCTTTTCTAATTTTAAGAGTTCTGCATAAGGTTTTTTCCTTTGCTCTGTGGCGAGCACACATACATACACTACCACCACCATTCGGCCATCCTCGGGTTGTTTCGCTTATTAATGTAAACAGCAATATTAGAATTTCATGAATATTTGAAAGAACTCCAGTGTAGGTACTGTCATTTGTTAATTGTGTTTCCAGCTCCAAGAACCTTTGCCTTTGCAATTCCTGACTGGGAATATTTTTTAGATTTTTCTACTGATTTTTCTACCAGTTTGAAGTAAATGGTTAGCATATCTGACCCTTTACCCCAAAACCCATCAGGAAGACTCTTCAGAGTTACCTGGGCTTTCAAGCAGAAGTACAGATAGATTGGGTATCCTCTTTTAAGTCAGTCTCTTGAAGAAGTATATAATACTCCGTGCCTGCAGGAGCCTGCCTCTTTTGGAGAACCCCAGGCAGTCTACACACATCACCTGGGTTACCTAAGGGCACCTAGGAAGATCTTTTTGAGAAACATGATTTGTCTTTGTTGAGTAGCCTCCAAAGACAGGCTAGTGCGTTTGAAGGCTGCCAGTGAAAAGGCAGGACTCTGTCCATCCACTGTGGAACTCCACGTCTGGTTCCTGCCTGGTCATGGAACAGCAGCCAAGGTCAGACCCAGAGATGACTGTAGTGTGAGTTCATTAGGGCCTGGCTCCTGAGCATACATTTCTTCTTTATGTACCTCCTGAATAGCTTTCATTGTTCCCTAAATACCCAAGAAGCAGACTGGAAGTGCTGAGCACTCACTGCCGCTAGACAGAACAGAGCTCTACTGCTCATCACTGCATACGGTTAGGACAGTTACTTCTATAATCAAACTAGCAGCCACCACCCTCAGCTGCTCTCATAGGCTGGTGTGCCTCCAAATAGTTGTGTGTCCCTTAGGACACAGAGTCTGTGATCAGTACCTAGTGGCCTTAGCTTCTCATACCTCCTCCATACAGAACAACATCCAAGACAACCTATATGGTTGGTGTTCCCAGAGCACATGCAGAACATAAATAGGTCCTGTCTAGGCGGGCCGTGCATGGCCAGCTTGATTCTATGGGATAGCAGTGGGCCCTGGCCCTATACCAGACCTTAAAATAAGTAACCCAGATATGCCTTTCCCCAAACACAGGTTGTGCGAGAGTAGCTGCGTGATGGGCTAGCCTGTTGCTGGTTCCTCTACTAACTGCCCTCTCTCTAACTTGAGAACTTAGTTCCACTCTGGGGCTAGACTCACTACTGATCGCTTGCTCTTGCAGTGACACTTCCAGAGAGCACCAAGCTCTACTGATAGAAAATTCGAAGAGAATGGAAGACGCTATGTCTCCTCCAGTCAGAGCAGCCCTGGGTTCTTCCTGGCAAATGTGACACAAAGCAGCTTCAAAACATTCCACAGAACTACAGTGAGCAACAACAGGTTGCTGGGCCTGACTGTACCAAGCTATGCCCAAAGTCTCCAAACTGGGAAAAGCACATTATTCGGAATCTGTAGACCAAGCCTCTTTGCTAGCCAGTTCCTTGACCAAACTCTGCTTTGGTCCTCAGACCTCCCACAGCACCCGTGTGTTAGTGATATCTGCTTATACCGTCTCAAGCTAAGAAACAAGAGCTTTAACCAGCTGGATAGCACCTATCCCTCACCCCCATTCCTTTCCAACCCACTGCCCCATCCGAAGGTTCCTTACCAAATGGCACAGCGAAGGAATAACATGGAGTTTGCAGCAAGTCCCCAGGAAAACTGTGGCATTATCTGGCATTTCTGTAGAAGACATGCATTCTGGTCATTTTCACTGTCAAAAACAAGTGTGTGGAAGCCAGGCGCAGTGGTGCATGCTTGTAATCTCATCATTTGAGAGGTTAGGCAGAAGGAGCAGCCTGAGCTATGCAGTGAGCCTTTGTGTTACCAGGAAAGCACTGCAGCCAGCCCTGATGGCCTAGTTTTTATTTCAGTAGCTTGCTACCACCAGTTAGAGAAAGTAAATGTGTGGTCAGGCCAGGTGTGGTAGCACCCCCTTAACAACAAGAGTGTAGTCACATTTGAAGGCAGTGCTGGTTCTCTGTGGGATCTCTGGGAATCCAGTCACTACAGGGTATTCGTTGACATTGAATTTGCTAGTCAGAAAGAAGGGCATGGATTTTGGGAAAGGATACTTGGCTTTAAAAAAAAAAATCTATGATGGAGTGGTTAGAGTCCTTCTAGGTAACCAGGCTGAAATGTTTTGTCTCTGATTTTCTGGGACATATTCTTGCTACAAAATCCAGAATAACCTTGAATGTGCAATTATTCTGTTTCTCCCCAGTACTGGGATTTATAGGCATGTGTGATAACACGCAAAATACTCTGAGTGTACCTCTATATCCTGTTTGTTGGGTTCATTTGGACCACTACAGACTATTTAGGAGCACATGCCAGGCCACTGCACAAACATGAAGGGCTCCATCATGCCACCAGTCCCTTTGGAAAAGAAAGCTCCAAGAGGAGTAGTCAATGACACGACAAAGCTGGTGCAGCATCGTGAAAGGCTGGAGCTACACCAGAGGGCCCTGCCAATTCCCCACCCTACCAGAAGCAATGGAGATCAGTGCCATGCCATGCAAGCCTCTATTAAATATCTCCTAGTGTAAAACAGAACTCCTCTTAGAGCTGCTAAGTCACATAGCATAGTGACCACTCATGAACTCACGACCACCTGCATCTATTAGCGTCTTACAGATGACATGTCACTGAGACTGTGACCCAGAGAGGACAAAAGGACATGAGGGGAGAGGCAGCCCTGTAGGTAATCCCAGCAGAGAACCCCAACACAGCCTTCCAATGTGATCATACACCTGCCTCTAACAAAGCTGTTTCCTGTGTTCTGAAGGAGGCCCTCAGCCTACTCTAAAAAGATGAGAATAGAAAGCACAGGGCTGAGAAGGTTACGTCGTGTCAGCCAAGCACTCTCACACCCACGTTTCCACCCCTTCACCTTCCAGAGTGCCTTTTGCCTCATGCAATTAACTCCTGCATCCCTCATCCCTAGTGAGATGCTTACCCAGAATTGTGAGCATAGCACAAAGATAGCTCTCACCCTGATACTTGTCACAGGCCAGACATGCTGTAGCCTCCATTAACTGCCTGAAAGACAGTGTAAGTCTGCCCAGTAAGTCTGGAAAAGGCTGTTCAATTACAGATGAGGCTCTATGGTGAAAGCTGGAATTTGCTTGCCATCACACGGGCAGAGGAAGCTTTCGAGGAGACCAGAGACTGCAGGGCTGGAAGCAGCTAAACAGGATAAAGCCACTGTCAGGGCCCAAGAGGACCACTTTCTATTCCAGCACTTTCCCTAGGATTCACCAGGATACTACCAAAAGAGCTTTAACTGAGCCCTCCTCTGCCGCAGCTGCTGTAAGACCACAGCTTAGAAGGAAAGGGCAGGGTTGATGTAGACACTCGCTACACCTAAAGCTTTCCCTGAATCCAGCTTCCAAACAGGAATAAGTTTTGTGTTAGAGCCCCTTGTGGGGTCAACTCTGCTCAGCTTCAGAGCTGTGTCTAGGTCAGGAAGAATGGGACTGTGGTGTAGTCAGTGTCAGCCATGGGCTACTCTACATAGAAATCTTTAAGTAGTATAGAATATGAGAAGGCTTTTCACAAGCTATCAGAGTCTGGCCTGCAGCCTGACAGAAGGTCTATACTCAAGCTTGCTCACGCTAATGTTGGTCCCAGTCTCTAGGTAGAATTTCACAGAGCCTATGTGTTGGATCTGGTTCCATTCAACTATTCAAAGCCTTTATCTGTGATTTAGAGCAAGACACAAGGTATATCCATCAGAATATCAAGCTGAAATATTCTTTCTCATTCTTTTTTTTTTTAACATGGAAGATTCCTCTGTAGTTGAGAGAAAGCCACTTTACCAGGACCCCAGTGCCTAGTAGCTTGTGTTGGAGGGAAGCTAGGTCTCCAGAGATGAGATGTAGCTATAGCTGCCTCCCACAGGGCACCACCAGGCCTCTCTGCATGGCAGGCTCTTCTTGACAGTAACCAAAATCCACTCCCCCTTGGAAGCCATTTCAAGAGCCATGCAGAAGCCCAGCCATAGCCTGCTTCCGGGACATGTGCATCACACAGCAGATGAAGCCTGAGAGTACCATGAAGTGGGCCACACATGTACAAGGAGGAAGGAGAGGATCAGGACAAACAGCTGCCCAAGGAAAGTGTCCAGCACACAGCCCCATCTGGACCCTGCTGTGAATCACTGGCTATATTTTGAAAGTGACTTCCAGTGAGAGGACAAGAAGGTAGTCCTCCCAGAGTAAGACTGACACGCCCTTAAAGTGGAGGCCAAGTATGACAGGATTCTTTATCGGCCTTCCACATCTTACCACCTGGACCGAAAAGGAGAGAACTGTTCCAAACCTTCCTCATCCATCCCTGTTGCTCAGTCCAGAAGCAGATAGAAAGCAACACCATTTCCCAGCCCCAGCAAACACTGCCCCATTCGTTTTGGGTTTCCATACCTGCTAGTGCACTGACCAGGAAGTAGGCTGTTGCAAAGAGCCTCTGATTGCTGACCTCGTCCTGTGGGCTGGGACGCTCTCCCTGTACCCTGTATCCCACCAGTTGCAAGAAGGCTGTGAGGTTCTGCTGCTGACTGTCTGTCAGCTCCTCCGTTGCCAATATAGCCTGTGAGGACCAGAGGCCACTGGCCACATCATCACACTACAGTGAAGAAAGAGAAGAAAGACTATGATGAAGCTAGAACTCATTCAAGTGCAACCCAACTGAGCCTCTGCCTCACCCGTACCTTCCCAACACTATCCATGCACTTTGCCCTCTCCAGGTAAAGTAAGCACTGAGCCCTTTTCTAAACTTTGATGCTATCTATAAGCCTACATTTGCTCCTAAGGACACAGATGAGCCATGCCTAAGTACTGTCCTTCCACAGAGAAAGGGGAAGAGTCATACAAGAAGTGTTGGGCAGACAGAACCTTCCAGACTATGCCAGGATATTGAGTTTTACCAGACACCAGGAACAATTGGCTATGTATCAAACTGTCAAAGGGGTCATAAAAGAACACCTCTTCCTGGTTCTCACACTATAAAAGCAGCACGCTTAACCTAGTATGTCCCCAGCCTTCCATAAGCAGCTTTATCCATCACAACAAGGTTGCCCATGGGTGGGGTGGCACTGCCCATGAGCCAGTTCTGAGCCCCTGGACTAGTTCCATACCCTAGATACCCTGTGTCCTCTCTGACACCAGCAGGCAGATGCTTTGCCAACATCTGACAGGGCAGCTGCTACTCTCTCCATAGGGGACTAACCTGACATTTCCCTCTAGGAAGGAGCTCTTTTAGGAAGTAAAAGTCAAGGGATTCTGAAACATTTGTGTTTTTCCTAGGGGTTAAGCCCTGCATCCTCTAGAAGGCAAATTGGACCCTTTGGACAACTCCAAGTCTGTCCCTGGTTGCTAGGCTCTCCAGCACAATTTCATTTCAAGTGGGGAGATGATGTGAGTGGTTTTCTGGACACCTAAAGCATGTGGGCAGGATAGAAAGAAGGAAAACTAAAAACAAAATCACGATGAAAAGAAAATTGTCAAAGTCCCAGCCTCATTAAGTACAAAAAAAACCCCAATCCGAGCTGATGGAGGATGAGCAGCTGGCGCGTCCCTCAAACTCTGGCTGTTGCAAAACAAAGCGATAAACATCTCCTCCTCTGTGTTGTAAAGGGGACAGGTTGACAGGCTCTGCCACACAGTCCCTTCCCTGTGAGCGGAACACATGCCCACCTGCAGCCTCAGAACGAAGCCTTATGTGCAGTGAGTCTTTGCAGGTGTAATTAAGGGAAGAGTCTCAAGAAAGAGAACTCTATATCCGGTAAGGTGATCTGGAATGAGTTCTGTGTCTAGAAAAGACCCCAACACACAACAGAAGACATGACAGAGATAAGCCACCAGCCACAGAATGCCAGGAGCCACCAGAAACTGCAGGCAACAAGGATTCTCTTCTAGAGCTTTCAGAGGAGAATCCCTGCTGCCACTGTCAACTCTGGATTCTGCCCTCCAGATCTATAAGAAATTAATTTCTGGTATTCCTTTCTTTTCTTTTTTCTTTTTCTTTTTTCTTTTTTCCTTCGAGACAGGGTTTCTCTGTGTAGCCCTGGCTGTCCTAGAGCTCACTCTGTAAACCAGGCTGGCCTCGAACTCAGAAATCCACCTGCCTCTGCCTCCCAAAATTTCTGATATTCTTAAATACCAAGCCTGTGGTCATCTTTATAGCTCTAAGAAAGTCACTCATCCTGCCTGATAGCAGCTTCAAATTTTAGGGTTAAAGGGAAGTGGTGAAACTTAATTTCAAACTATCCCAGAGCCTGCCCTTTTGGGTCTAGCCTGTGCATATTTTCACAGCAACCACGTACAAACCCAAATCCATAACCACCACCACCACCTACCACTTGCTCCAGGGCCCTAAGGAGTTCGTCATCAAACAGGGTTTTCTGCAGGACACAGAACAGCGCCATCTGCTGCTGGGCAGGTAACACAGCAAAGGGATGGAAGCTCCTCTCTAGGTGCAGGCTTGCTGTGAACACAGAGCAGATGCAGTCAGGGCACGCACACAACCTGCTCCTCAGTCACCATCTTCCAAAGGACTCCATGGTCACAACTTGCTATGGGTCTTGGAGAGACACAGCACCCTGAGTGATATTCAACAACCAGGGAAACTACAGGAAAGGAAAGGGGGACAGGGAAGTCCACTTTGACATCCTAACCCTCACCCTTCTTTCTACCTGTGCAATGCTAGGCTTGACCTGGAAGCCACTTGGGTTCTTCTTTGGAGTACTGTCTATAAAAGTGGATTCTCAAGGCTAAATTAATAAGCATAAACCATACTCGTTTCCAAACACATCCTCCCCAATGCTGTCCAGACATGTACTGCAATTTGGCATGTTTTTGTTTCCAATGTATGTTCAAAAGGCCAGCACTCTGCATGCCTGGCAAATATGGCTTCCACTTCCTTCCCTGTACCTTCCTCTCCTGTTCAAGGTGAGCTCAGAGTGCACTTTGCTGTGCCACTCGTGTCCTCTGCAGGGGCCCTGGGACCCTATCCCCTATAATCCTCTTTTTTTTCCTGAGGACAGTCAAAAGTTCCTAGTAAATTAAACCAAAAAAGATGGCCTGAGATGGTGCTTTCCTACTGAGGGCTGTGCACTGACACTAAATGCACAGCCTTGCTGATGGAGGTCTAGGAAATTATTGCTGAACACCCTACAGGCTGGACACAGAACTTCTGAGCCACATCTTCAGAACCTCCTGTGGAATACAATACAGTCTTCATCAGGCCTTGCCTGAAGAGAGAAGCTGTCCTGGTTAGCCTGAGGGCTCAAAGACCAGCCCAGTCCTCCTGCTACACCTGGCCACCGTCCTCAGCTCCCCAGGGAACTCTAGCCAATGAGGATGGCTGACTCAGCTTGGTGCAGTGAGAGAAGGACCTGCAGCCTCACGTTTCTGCAGCACAACTCCAGCTGCAAGTAGAGGCCCAAAATTTAGCTAACCCTTATCTCAGGAAAGATCTACCCTAAACCTGGGTCTCCATCAACCTGTCCCCTAACACTGTGCCAGGAGCAGCATCCTCTGGTTAGAGCTTCCCTGAATCCGAGGGAGGAATTGCTTTACACGGCAGAGCCTGTTTTGAGCCGCCCGGTTTCTGCTAAGCTCCTCCTCTTTTGTAGTCCAGTGCCCCCTACTGCACACCGCTCTCCTGCACCCAGCAAAGCAAACCAACCCTCAAGTAACAAGCTATGAGGAACAAAGCAAATTGCCACTGGCAGTTCAGAGGTACAGCCCTCTGCCTTGTGGGTGGGGAGCTTCAGTGGCGTTTACCAGGCTGACAGAGCGCAGCCTACCATGCAGTGAAGCCTGGGATATGACAGAGCTCAGAACAGATCCTGGGGGCTCTAGCTCTGCTAGTTACTGGCCTTCTCAGTATTCAGTTAGGTTCCAAACAGGGAAAGAAAACTGTCAGGCCCCTCACCACTGTACTTCTTGGCCTCCCTCTTTGACCCCTAGGGTCTTCCATTCTCTAAAACTCAGCACCCAAGACTGGGCCCACCCAAAGGTCCAAGGAAATCTTGAAGGCCACATCACTACTTGGGAGAGAAAGTCTGCTTCGCCATCTGGCCATAACCACAGGCAATAATACCTTGTTTTAAAGCATGTAGTGGCCCATCCTGCGAAGAGATCTCTTGACTCCCATCCGGCATGTCCAGAAAGGCAAACTCTCTGTAGGCCAGGGGGTCCAAGTAGACAGAGTCAACTTTCCTCTCGTGCTCGAAGCCACCATGTTTCCCTTGGAGGAGGCAGAATTCTGTAGTGGAGAGAAAAGCCCAAGCCAGGCAGGTCAGCACAGCTCATCCGTACCTCAGACTCATCTTTACCCACCTCAGGCTGTGGTAGAAGACACACATAAAGGCTTTTGCTTCTTTGCATCTGTTTTTGAGCCCAAGTCTGGTGATTAGAATGAGAAATATCTCCCACAGACTTAGCCTTTGAGTATGTGTTCACCAGTTTGGAGGTATTATTTGGAAGGTGTAGTCCTGCTACAGGAAGCGAGTCACTGGAGGAGGGCTCTGAGTGACAGCCTTTGAGCTACTGTCATCCTCTGTGACCTTGGCTTCCTGCTCCTGCTCACATGCCTCTGCCCCTCCAGGGTGGACTCTTTTCTCCCTGGAACCAAAAGACAAATCAAACTCTTCCTTGAGTCACCTTTGGTTACAGTGCTTTGTCACAGCGACAGAAAAATAACTAATAGAGTCTTACTGATCTCTAACCCCAGATTCTCCTGCCTCAGCCTCACAAGAGCTGGGATTACAGACATGTAGCATCATGTCTGCTCACTCGAGGGCTTTTACATGAGATCTGATCAGGTATAGAGTGGCTGACAGAATTGTCCTGCACTACAGCAAGCTTAGGAGGGTCTGTGGGTCCCCTCTGTGTCCTTGTCTTTTAAGATGAGGAGGCACCTTTTGTTGAGAAAAAGGAAGACACCTCTCCATGGAGGTGTGCTACCCCTTCATAGGTGGGCCAGGAAACCCACCTATGAAGATTTTGTCTTCCATTCCCTCAAACCCATATAAAATATTTTAGGTTTCATGTACTAATGTTATTACGTTAAAAAAAAAGAACCAGAGACTGATTCCTGACTGAAGCAAGAGCTCAAACAGCCACCTTACAGCAGAAGGTCTCTGGGCCAGAAGCTAGATACCCTAGACAAGAGGGATGGCAGGGTGTTTCCCAGGGGATTAACTTTGGGAGACCAGGTGACAGTGCTCTAGGTGATGAGAGAGCAACCTCGGGACACTTGCAGGGCGAAGCTTGTCCTGGGGACAGCAGTCCTCACAGAGAGTATTTGAGGGGGTGAATGGACTGACCTGATCGCAGCTTAAGGCCTTCACTAACTGCACTGATGGATGGAGGAACAGAGAGGGGTTCTGAGCATGGAGCGTGAGAAGGGGGAGGTGCTTCAGTCACAGCAGCACTGAGGTTGGAGGATGGAGCGAGGACCAGTGTCACTGGGAGCATCTGATGAATTCATGCTTCAGGATAAACAAACAACCGCTGTACAGAGTGCAAGCTCGGTTTCAGAATGATGAAGGGTGCCTCTGATTGCACCCCTAAGAGAAGTGTGAGGAGGGGTTGCATGGCACCTGAGACAGTGAGGGTGGGGTTGGCTTCTCGATTCATAGAACAGCTGGGGCAGCTGTCCAGGATAACCCTGCTGCAGGCAGGAAGCAAGAACATGTACCTCCTGAGGGTCCTTCCCTCAGGTTTGTTGATGAGACTGTATCAGAACATTCCATGTGAAGAGTGGCAGGAAGGGAGAGAGGCAGAACTATTCAGTGGTTATGGAACCTGCCACAACATGCAAAGGTGGGCGCTCCTCAGAGGACAGAGGCTGTGGTGCTGCCTCTAAGGCCAGAGCATGGGAAAGAAACCTAAGACAGGGATGAGGCCTGAGGGACACAGCAGAATTCAGAAAGCATAAAAGGCAAAAGAAGCCCCTGGGGAAAACAGGCTACACCCAAATGAGCTGTAAGCAGCTTGGCAGAAAAGCCACCTAGCCTCTAGCCACCAAGGATTCTCCCAGAGTTCATGGCCATATCCTCACAAGGCCCCATTTGCAAAGGGCCTTTGAGAAAATATGACACATATTCACAGTAGTTAGAAAAAATATAAGTATAAAAATGAATTGATTTTTAAAAAGCAGTTACATGTATACACTGGAATACTACTCATTCATGAAAAAAGAAACCCACGCATGAATCTGGAGAATATTAAAACCCCAGGCAGAGAAAGACAACCCCGTGCAATCACATTCATTTGTAGAGTCTAGATTAGTACATCTCACTGAATCGGAGAAAAATAGTGAGAGTTAGAGCCTACGAGGTAGAGGAAAAGGGAACACGCCGGCTAAATGACCCAGAATTCCAGTTATGAGGACCTTCTGTCATCTAATATACCCAACTGTGACAACTGTTAATAATGCTGTTACCATGGAAACAAGCGTGTGGGTTAAACATGGATGCTAGGGTTAAACCATGGAAATGGAATCCCTGGGAATGAGAAGGAACCAAACTGCAGCTGAGCGTGAGATACAAACTGGCCAGATGAGAGAAAGGGCAGGGCTCTGAGAGAAACCACAAAGCAAGGCTTAGCATTGGCTGGACTTGCATGCAAGGTGCTGTGGTCCTTCTGCATATCCTATGTCTAACTGCAACAGACTAAACTGAGAAAAAGACAGCTTCTAAAGAGCCATCACCTAGTCCAGGATGGCAACCACCCCAGACCACCTCAGACAAGGACTTAGATGTGAGGTCACCTAGGAGAATGTGGCCATATCTTAGTAGGCATGTCCCCCACCCCACCCCTACAGCTGTTCATAAACATCCTTGAAACTGAAGTAGGTCAGTAGGTCCTTCCTATGTCAGCAGAAAGGAGTCAACAGGACATTCATCTATATCAGGCTCAGCATCCTCAAGACTCAAGGTCATGACATCACTAGCATTATGGTTTTGACAGCACTACCTTCCCCTTTGTAGGAATTATGGAAGCAATAACTTGAGAGGAAGATCTGGTTCACTGTGATTTGGGACCTCATAAATACTCCACTCAATAAATATTCATAAAAACTTGTTTAAAGCCCACCCACAGCACCCCTGGACAGGGTCCTCACCCAGGGACACCTACTCCTACCCCTGCAGGGTTTGCTTTGCTCGGCTTTTCTGTTGCTTTGTTAAGTGAGCATCTGTAGCGGGATATTTTCCCACTACATTTGCAATAAAGCTCCATCATTGGGCAGTATGAAAGGTAGGCGGAGTGAGGAAGGGGAAGAGGGGAAGGAGGCAGAGGAGAAGAGAAGATGGCTGCAGATGTACGCGTGTCTCTAGCAGTCTGAGGTGGTTATAATATCTAGGTTAGACAATTGGGCAACAATTTTAATTGTGAGGACATCTTGTTAATTTAGTATTTCCAAATATATAAATCTATTGGATAATCTTTAAGCATTGGAGTCTTTATTCTACCGGGTACCACACATAGCGGGAATAGTCTGGGCTCAGCCGAGCATCGTGGACAGCGTGGTGGATTGGCAGAGCCAGCACCACGCTGGTGTCTCATAGGTGTCAGGGCCTGAGCATCTAGCTAGCCAGAGCCCTGTTCAGAGCCAAGGAGCAACAAGAACGTGGCGGCTGCCCTGGGACAATCCAGACCAGGTGCCGATTTCTAAATATCCCTACAGGCATTTGCGCAAATGGTCTGTCTCTTGACTGAATTCACTCCTTCAAGACTGGACAGCTGGCTTAGCGGTTAGGAACAGTGACTCGCCTTCTACAGAACCTGGGTTTGGTTCCCCATACCCACATGGATTGCTCTCAACCATCCCTAACTCCAGTTGCAGGGGATCTGATGCTCTCTCGTCTGCAATCCTCAGACACCAGGCACACAGGTGCTGCATATACATCCACACAGGCCCAACATACACAGAAAATAATAAAATAATCTAAAACCTATAACAACAAAATAAACTAAGAGAGCCCCGCAATGGCAGCAATACCTTGTTGATAACTGACCTAGAATCAACCTACATGCTTAACAACAGATGAACAGATCAAGAAAACATGGCCCATTTACATAAAGGAATTTGACTTAGACACTGAATAAATAAAATCTTATTGTGTAGGACAACATGGATGAACCCAGGAGATGTGTGGGGAACCTAAGTCAGACACAGAAAGACAAATGCCATGGTCCCTTGCTTATGGCAACTCTAAAGGACTCTGCTGTCTCGGAAGGAATGTAGAGCACCCATTCTGTTCTCTGTGACTGAGAAACAAGTGGGGTGGGGCCACCCAATGTTCTGAGTGGCCCAGGTTTCCCTTACCTGGCTCAGAACCATCTGTAATGGGATCTGATGCCCTCTTCTGGTGTGTCTGAAGATAACAACAATGTAATTATATACGTAAAATAATAAGTCTTTAAAAAAAAAGATAAATGGGAGAGTGACAGACAGATACACGTATAGTCTATTCTCTAGGGCAAAGGTCACACTTAGCAAGAGTGCACAGTTACAGTGACCTGGCTGCTCATCTGCCAGTCTCAGCAACTGTGACACCCAGGCCTTCCTCCTTTACCTTTACCCACACCACATACAGTCCCTTATTCCATTTTGGAAGCAAACAACAAACAGATTATTCATCTGTGACATTACAGAAGGAACTTCCAACATAAATCTTTTTTTATGGACAAAATCATTATCCTACCCAGAAAGATTAATAACAGCGTGTGATGTCACCTTTACCCATTCTTGCTCCCACAAAGCAATCAGGTAGCATTCTCATGGGGAAGGAGAGGGAGGGGCCTTGAGCATGTAGAGCAGTGGTTCTTAACCTCCCTGATGCTGTGCCCCTTTAATACAGTTCCTCATGTTGTGGTGACCCCAACTGTAAAATTATTTTCCTTGCTATTTCATAACTATCATTTTGCTATTGTTATGAATCATGTGTATGTATCTGTGTTTTCTGATGGTTTTAGGCAACCCCTGTAAAAGAGTCATTCAATCCTTAAAGGGGTCTTGACCCACAGGTTGAGAACCATTGATCTAGCGTGAGCAGAAAGTAAAAAAGGGTGGCCCTTATTTGCTTCCACCAATAGCAATGACACTTGTGATCCCCAGAGCAAGGTCCAGTTGCAGTATGGGTTTCCTGTTGGGAGGGGTGGTGGGCTCACCACAAGGATAATGTTAACAGGTAGATCAGAGTCGTTGATGAGTTACCTCTGGGTAGTTCCTAGTCTCAGCTAGCTTAACTCCACACAGGACCCCTCAGGGATTCTCATTCACCTTCTGAGCTGCGGTGTCCTGCGGTGCTTTATATGAAAAATGTCCCCCATAGTCTTGAACATGTGTTCCTTAGTTAGTGGTGTTGTGTGAGGAGGTTTAAAGGAGGCGGCCTTGTCGGAGGGATGTCTCTGAGAGTTTAAAGGCTTACTCCACCATCAACTCCCTCTACTTCATGCTTTCAGTCAAGGATGTGCGCTCCCAGCATCCTGTCCCTGCTGTCCTGTCTGCTGCTTCCCCAACATGATGGCCTTCTAGCCCTCTAGACATGTAAGCCCAAACAAGTCGTTTCTTCTATTAGTTGCCTAGTCATGGTACTTTATCATGGCAAGAAAAAAATAACTCTGTGGGGCCTTAACCTGAGAAAGACTCAACAGCTTACAGGGGGTCTGGGTGGCTGCCGAGCCCATGTTCCTCCCATGTTCCTCCCATGGCTCAGTCACACCTGAGGAGCAGGAGGTGCATGAAGCCCCTGGCTCCCCTCACCCAATGCGCCAGTGGCTCCTACTCCCCAGAGTCAGATCCTAGACACCCTAACACCCTCTTCTATCCCATCCTCTCTCTTTCTACCAGGGCATACCTCATGAGGACTCACCAAACTGGCCGTCCTGTTTCACGTACAGCTCCATGATGCCATAGGCAATGGTGGTGGCAGCAGGGATCTCCAGTACTACATTGGTGTCCTTGGTGACAGTCCCATCCTCCATTGCTGACACCTGTGGGCAAGAGCATATTCCCGCATGTATACTCAGGCACTCCTGGCTTCTTCCTCTCACTTCTGTGTCCAGCCTCTTAAGAATGCTGAGAAATATCCACAGTGCTAAGGAGGAAGGAGGAGACAGCTGGCACTGGTATCGGGTGGCATGGGTAAGATGCCAGAGCACGGGGTAGGAAGCTATATACCAGAACTATGCTTTGGCAACAGCATACCATATTACACCGCTGTGGTCCCACAATACTGTGATTAATGGAAGCAAAATAACCCTATCTCCTAGTGCCATCATCTGCAGTCTACCATCACTGCAGAAGGCATCACTCATATCTGTGGTGACACTGTTAACAGGGCCCCTGTGCACCTACAGTCACTGTCAGCATGGAATACCAGATCGTTATAAATGACTATGCTATGGGCTCGTGTACACTAGACTAGAGCTTTAACATTACATTTTACAGTGTTTTAGATCATATTTTTATAAGAAGGAAAGAAGGAAGGAAGGAAGGAAGGAAGGAAGGAAGGAAGGAAGGAAGGAAGGAAACTGCTGAGTTAGGCTGGCAGTAGGCTCATGCATGTCAGGTTCACTGCGTCCCTCAGGTACACCATGAAATTCTGCAGACATCAAGGGCCGTGTAACTTATCCTGCAGCGTGATGTCACCACCAGCAATATCACCGAGTGCTGTGTAACACTGTGCACAGCTAAGTGATGTACAACTGGAGACAAGATAAAGAAGACCCGTTTCCAATTCCTTCTCCTGGTTCAGTTAACAACTTTGAAATCTGAGTGAAAATCCCAACAGGAGCAAAGCTGGCCTGGGAAGCCCTCACTGAGCTGTTTACACACTCATGGATGGTGCTCTGTGCAGGGATAACAAGACCATAGGAAAGGTTCTGGGATACAGACAGGAGAACGATAGATGGGCAGGGCTGGGGTGAAAGCAGGAAAGAGCCCTTCCTGCAGTACCCCAGGGACAAGAAGTTGGAGATCTGTTTGTTGGCCAAACACTGGAGACAGACAACACAGCTTAGCCATCTGCCCCTGATCCGAGTATTTGATTTGACTCAAGAAGCAGCAGCAGCTGAGCTCTAACTCACAGGACCAGACCTTCAGCAGGTGGTGACCATGGGCAGAAGTGTCAGCAGGGCCAGCTGAAGTCACCTCCATCAGGTCCCCCTTTCCCCTCTGCTGCCCAGCCTGCTCACCAGCCTACCCAGCAGCCCCAGCTATAGATTTACAGCCATGCCTCACCCAGTCCACTGTCAAATACAGCCCTCCCGAGTCTTCTAGAAAATGCCAGTGCTACCAAGAAGGAAACTACCAAGAAGATTTTAAGTCCCGTGGCCAGCTGAGGGGAAGCAGTTTAAGCCAATGGCTGCCTACTTCTCTCATTTTACTGCATATTCTCATGATTACTCCAGAATCAGCTTGGAATCTGGAAGAAATGGTAAATAATAGACAGACAGACAGACAGACAGACAGACAGGTTCTCTTGTTCCTGGCCTGGCTAGTGTCTGACTAAACTTCCTTAAAGGAAGCACTGTGCTTCCATAAAGGGCAGTGCTGGGCCCAGGCCCAGCTAGACACTAGAATTCTGTTGCCACAGATTGAGAAAGAGACAAAACAGACATTATCTGGTGAGACCCAGATCAGGAGCACTCTTTCCTTGTGTTGTAATAAGCCTGAAGAAAGCCTGGAGTCACCAGCTCCAAGAGGAAGAAACCTCAACTATCTGGGAAGGAGGGCGGCTCACAATATCTTCAAGCCCCACAGTGACTGAGGCCAGATGTCTCAAAGAGCTGTTGCATGATCCAAGGGTGTCTTGTTTACTAGAGCCAGCTTGAGTCTGTCTCATTCCTAACCCTCTTCAGGAAGAGTTCTGACTGAGGAAGACACTTGAAAAGGGACCTGTGGGGAAAGTTCTCCGTGCTGAGGTGAGGCACCTGTATAGTCTTGGTCTGGATCCCCACCATGCCTCCACACGTCTCCTCCGACTGCACATGCTCAGATATCACACACTTCTGCGTGGTCACGATCTTCTGTGTCAGCACACACAGGACCTCGTTCCTGCTCTCTAGCACCTGCTGGAGCACCAGGTTGTCCATATTAACTGTCCTGAAAAAGAAAATTGGTCATGAGTAACCCTGTGCCTCCAGGGAGACCGAGGCAGGGACCAGAATATCCTCTTGCAGCTAGAAGAGGGAACAATAGATCTCATTAATTTCCTGGTGATGAGAGCAGAGGCAGGTTCCCTAGAATGGCCTCTGCCAAGCTCTCCTGAGGCCAGTCAGACCAGCTGAGGGATAGGCTGGGCACTGGGAGAAATACCACAGAATTATATTCTTAATCACAAAGTCCCCAACATTCACACTGGTTTCAGTGAAGAACACTGGAAAGCCATGCTACAGGACAGCTGCCACCCAGTCTTCTGGGTGAGACTGGGTTGAGTCTAAGGGTGGTTGGACATCATGGTGGATGCCTGCCCTCTTCTGAAGCACAGGGTCATTCTGATGAGAGGCACAGTGGCTTCTTACAGGGGAGGGGTGCAGGTTAAAGCGCAGGCTGTGGCAGGAGATCAGACTGGAACCCTGACAGGACTACAATAGAGGAAGACTGTATAACCTCTCAGTGGGGTTTCTGTCACAGAGACAGAAGCCATTTGCTATTGGCTGCCCCAGGCTGAGCCCACATGGTTCCCCATCCGGAGTCATGTAAAATTCTGTATAATTTCAAAGTCAGACCACAGTTCCAGATATACATTGATGCTTAAACCAATGATAAGCTCCCTGAAGACCTCAGTTAACATCGCATAACCCTCCTGTGGCTATGGGAGGGCAAGTTTACCGAGATACTGCTTCCAAAAACAGCATGAGGTGATTGTGGAAGACACCTGATGTCAACCTCCCGTCTCCATCTACATGCACATCCACATTGTATGTGTATCTGTGTACACACACACACACACACACGCATACACAAACGTGTACACATCACCTAGTTACAAAAGTGGATAGATTGATTGACTGACTGATGAATTAACTATTAGGTTAATTCCAGGAAGAAATATGGACAGGGAGCTGGGTTCTGCCCTCCCCCTGGCCAACCTGGAGGGAATTAGGTCACTTGAATTTACGTGGTGGCTTTTGCACGAATAGCTGTAGGTAACGAGCCCTCGACATGGGTTGTTTGAAGGGTCAGTGAGCAGTCAGCTTAAGCCACACCAAGGGTATACCATAAAACATGCCGGCCAACTTTCCAATGAGTTCTACAGAATAAAACCTCTGTATGTGCAGTTCCTGGGAACTGTGGGCCATTTAACTGGGCCGGGGCAGATTCCTATATCACTCACTTGCTTAAAAGCCTTCAAGGGCTCTGCCTCAACTGCTCACCCAAGTTCTACAACCCCATGACCATGACTTTGCCTCCTATTCTACTAACCTCACCTTCAAGCCTTTCCTCTATGCCTTCAAGAAGCCATGAAATGCCCAGTCAAAGCCCTGGCACTTCATCCCTGCCTGCTTTATCTTAGACATGTTTGTCACCTCAGGGAGCTGAGCTCTGTATGCTTTGAGAGTGGTGGTGCAGCCAAGATGGAGCGCTCATTTCCACACCACTGTTTCTCTGGCTCTTTCTTTTCTTCGTTCATTACCAGCACCATCAGCCTTGAGTAGAAGCTCCAGAGAGTTGGGGACCACGCCTACCATGTTCTACTGATCTCAGGGCTGGATCAGCACTGAGCAGCCAGAACAGACTCAGGGAACATTCATTTACATAAATGAATATGTAAATTCTGTTTCTTCCTTGTCTATTTGCTTTAATGTATGAGTGCTCAGGTGTGTGTGGGTGGGTGGGTGGGTGTGTCAGAAAAAGATGGATAGAGAGACGGAGGACAAAGAGGGAGAGAGAGGGTGAGAAAAGGGGAGAGAGAGAGAGAGGAAAGAAACCATATTGAAAATGGAGAGGGAGAGGAAGGATTCAGGTGTTTGGTTTGGTAGATGGTGGACAGTTAAGTCTCCCCTTTTATGGATACTAGGTGGTCAACATGAAGTCATGACTTCTGACTGAAGCAAGGGCTGGTAAAGGCAGTTTCCAGTCCCTTCTCACATTTTCAGGAAAATATGCATACTTTCCCAAGAGTTGAAAGAAGTTCAGTGTTCCAGCCACACCCACCTGAAAGATGATCAAGTTTGGGGTGCTTTAGGATCCCATTGAGGCCAGCAAATTGGCGCAGCAGTACGGATTTAAAGGAAGAAGTATGTCACCAACACTGACCAAGTGCATGGGGAAAGCCAGCAGTGTAGCTGTCTCTGTGGACATTCACTATCACTGGACCAGAACTGGACAAAGTCCATGAAAAGATGCTTAAACAGAAAGCCAAATTCTGCAAAGTATAAAAGGAAAGGGAGATAAATATCTGAGAAGATGTCTAGAAATGAAGTCAGCTCATATAAACAATTAAACTGGGAAAGAACGGGCTCCAGAGATGGCTCAGTACCGAGGAGCACTAGCTGCTCCTACAGAGGACCTGGGTTCAGTTCCCAGCAGCACCCACACGCCAGCTCACAACTCTAGGTCTGGAGAATGCAATACCCACCACTGGCCCCTGCAAGCACCCACACACACGATGCAAATGAACTCACACCAGCTCACACACATACACACAGAGGTCAAAAGAAATCATTTTCAAACATAAAGGGAACAATGCACTCTGAGAGAAAACCATGAGGTATAGCTCTGGAGGCAATGAAGAAGCAATGAGGACCTAAATAAGACTGAGGGAATGTGCCAGTGTGGGAACAGATGCCTGTACTCCCAGCACCCAGGAAGCCGAGGTGGGAGGATTACTATAAGGTTAAGGTCAACCTGGGCTCATAGTGAGTTCTAGGTCAGCCTCAGCTGTGGAGTAAGACAAACAGAAGAAAGCTAAAGAAAAAGGGAAGGAGACAGGGGAGAATAAGGGATGAGAGGGAGAGGAGCACACCTCAAGAGAGTAAAAGCAATAGGTGACAAGCCCACCGTCATGTCACACTGGCTGGGGAGAAGCTCCCTGCGTTTTCTCTGAGATCAGGAGCAAGGCACAGTTGCCCACGCTACACTCCTATCCAATGCGGTATTGAAGTCTTAGCAGGAACAACGGAGCAAGAGGAAGAGAAGACAAGTTAAATCAGGCACTTGTGCAGATGGTGAGATTTTATGTGGAGATAAACTGGACTGCCAAGCAGCTGCCAGATGAAGCCCATCACTTTGTATGTTGAACTAAAATATCAATTCAAAAAAAAAAAACATCAAACTGTTAGAACTTACAAACAAATCCAGTAAAGTGACAAAACAAAAAAGCCAATACACAAAAGCTAACACCATTTTTATACCACAATAATGAACAATCTGGCACAGAAATTAAGAAAGAAGTCCCATCCAGCCAAGGGCGATGGCTCATACCTGTAATCTCAACTCATGGGAAGCCAGGACAGAAAAAGTGTCACAAATTCAAGGTCAGCCTGAGCTACACAGTAAGTTCTAAGCCAGCATGTGTGAGACCCTTCTTCACAGAAATGGGGGTGGGGGGAAACCCTAATGTTTGTGTGAGTCAAACGTTATCAAATAATCAAATCTTAAAGAAAAAACACTTCCATCCAAAACACACTACAAAACTGGGGTTTGTGCACACCTGCAAAGCCATCACTTGGGAAACTGAGGCAGGAAGACTGTGAGTTCGAAGCCTACCTAAGCTACATAATACATCTAGCCTGGCTTATGAGACCCAGGATAGACAGATGCAGGAACTAACTGTCTAACTCACTAACTGTAAAGTATTCTAACAATATGGTGTTTGCTGAAAACCAGCACAAAGACTCATGGAATAGACCATAGAGTACAGAAATTAATCTGTGATCAAACAGCCATCTGATTTTCAACAAAGGTGCCAAGAATATACAATAGAAAGAAGACAGCATCTTTGTTAGTCAAACCTGCTGTCAGACTAGGAAGCATCTATAAAGCCGAGGAGACAAGCAGCATAGAGTGAGGAGTGTCTGCCAGCTATTCTTTCAATAGGAACCACATCCAGAATACATAGGAGCTCAGAAAGCTGAATATTGCAAAAACAGTGTAATTTTAAAATGGATTGTAGAGCCAAGCAAAGAGAAAGTCAACAAACCTATGAAGAAACGCTCAGTCTCCCTCATCTGGAGAAACATAAGTGACGCCTCTGTGGGATATTATTACCCCTAGTGAAATGGCCACTGTCAGGCAAAACGTAGCCAATACTATTGAGATGAAGAAGAGGCTCATGCACAGCTGAGGGGCTATAACTTATTACAGACATTATGGGAAACTAAAAATAAAACTAGTATAGCATCCAGCAGCTCCGCTGGTATCCAAGACAGATAACGCTGTTATCCAATGAAAGGGAAGATGCTTGTACCTCCATGCTTATTACAGTAGTATTTATGATGACTGAGGCAGAACCAACATAGATCACTTGTAACAGGTGAGGATTTAAAGCCTCTAAGATCTGTCCATGAATGGAAGCCATGGAATAGTATTTGGTTATAAAAATGAAACCATGTCATTTACACCAGCATAGATGCTAACTAGAGGACAATACATTAAGTAAAATTAGCCCGACCCAGAAAGACAAATGGTACATGTTCTCTTTCATTTGTGGTGAATCTAAGTCACCCCCATCAGAACAGAATAGAGTCATAGTCACTGGGGGCTGGGAAGGGGGGTAGGGATAGAAAGAAATCCAAGGGCTGAAGAGCTGGCTCAGCGTACTGCCCTTGTGGAGGATTTGAATTTTGTTCCCAGCATCCATGTTGGGCCCTCACAGCTTCCTACAATTCAAGCTTCAGGAGTTCTGACAACCTCTCCTGGCATCCAGGAACACCCACCATAGTGTACATACATGTGACACACACACACACATATAGACACACCCTAAGAAGAATTACTTCTGACTTTCTTCAGCACATGACCGACTACTAAAACACTGGAATCTATTGACATACTTAGAAATGACTAGGAGAGTGTACAATGCTTCATGCTTGAAGAAACAGTTGTATGTGTCACCCTGGTTTGCATATCATATGTTATGTTACATGCACTAAATATCA